GTAGATGGTATGCATACATGCCTTCCGTCACCCTAAAGGGCTATTGTATCATTTTTTTCTTATATCGTTACGATATCCCATCGTATCATCTAGAAAACGGGGAGAAGATTCTTGTTTGTTTTATTTAAACGCTTGATGCGTATCTCCCCACCCCCTCCCTCATCCCACACCCTCGTTTGTTTTTATCTTCTTGCACGGTGCCAAGGGATCCCGCTACGAAACAAATTTTGTATTGTGTGTTGGTGTGTGAGTGAGTGTGTGTGTGTGTGTGTATTCGTCTATGTGTGTGTATGTGGGTGTATGTGTATGTGTATGTGTATGTGTATGTGTATGTGAGTGTATGCGAGTGAATATGTGTGTATGTGTGTGTGTGTGAGTCTATGTTTGTTTGAGTGCATGTGTGTACTCGTGTGTGTGTGAGTGAATGTGTCTATGTTTGTGTGAGTGTATGTGTGTATGTGTATTTGTGTGCGTGTGTACGTGTGTGAGTGTATGTGTATGTATGTGTATTTGTGTACGTGTGTGCGTGTATGTGTGTATGTGTATTTGTTTATGTGTGTACGTGTGTACGTGTGTGCGTGTATGTGTGTATGTGTATTTGTGTGCGTGTGTACGTGTGTGCGTGTATATGTGTATGTGTGTGTGTGTATTTGTGTGCGTGTGTGTGTGAGCGCTAGACCTGGTTCAACTACGAGATATCTTGTTTCCTTTACGTCTGGCTGTTGTCTATCACGCTAGTGCTAACTTGTTGCAATCAAAATGTTATAATTAATTAATTTTTTTTAACTTAAAAAAATCTTTTTAATTTGGGCTAATACCGCAGCTCTAAAATATCAAAGGAACTGATACGCTATACTTTACTGGCGTTAGTTCAAAGAACTTTTTTTTTTTAAACTACTGAAAATAAAATTATTTCTCGACTTGGTTACATAGTGAGAATAGTAGCTGTGTGTAGTTAATTAAATTGGGATTTAACATTGTTGCCAAAAGACTTTGCGCATAAACTAAACATCAAACTAGATTCAATTATTTTTATTCGTTTTGTCTAGAATAATGACACGATATATTTATGAATCGTAAGTATAGATGATGTCTTTGTCTATTTCCGCCGTTTATTGAGAATGCTAACAGCATCAAAGAGTTTGTATGATCTTGGATTTTAGAACTTGTTTGTATGCTTTTTAACTTAGCCTATTATTTTCTAGGTATGATCTTGGTTTTATGAACCAGAGTGATGATCTTGTGTGTATGATCTTGATTTATATATCAGACAAATTAATCTGAGTATTGTTTCGCTGAAGTTAAAATATTTTAGTGCATATTTTGATATACGAATGCTCGTAATTTTATGTGGGTTTTTTAATTAAGCCTACATGAATTTATACTTAAACTAGCCGTCCTGGCCAGGCCCTGCTCTGGCTTCTGTGAAAAACCTTTCTGTTAAAGACCATTACCTGTGTGTTTAGTAATCATCATAAACCCGGCATTGCCCACCCAAACCACAACCAACCAAAACAACAAAACGCAAACATAACGCTAACACAATTACAAATACAAACGAAAACAAAAACCTAACAACAAACCCAACCACAACCACAAACACCAATACAAACACAAAGAAAAAACAAACAAAAAAGCAAACGAAAACAAAAACCTAACAACAAACCCAACCACAAACACCAATACCAACAAAAAAAACAAAAAAAAAAAACGAAAAAGCAAACGAAAACAAACCAAATCCAAACGCAAAACCAACCAAAAACACAAATACAAACCCAAACAAAAAAACACAAACAAAAACGAAAAAAGAAAGAACAAAAACGAACCAAATCAAAACGCAACCACTAACGCAAACCCACCTAAACACAAAGAAAACACTAACGCGAACATAAACGCCCGGGGCGGAATCACCTGTTTTAGCTTAATGAACGACTATAGTACCCCAACTTATTCATAGTCTTTTGCACTCACTTAAACGAACGCGCCTGTTTCAATTTGATGAACAATTTTAATACTCCAAGCTTATCCGTATAAATACCTACAACATTTGCACTTGATCAATCCCCGCTAATTATGTAATTATTTTTTTTTTCCCAACACCAAAACAAAGTAATTAAAAAGTAAATTATTTTCGACTAATGCAATGGTTTTATAAAGGGAAGTAATTTTGTTTTCCTAATTTATCAAAGGGAAGTAAGTGCTATAGGACTAAATAAAGACATAATTAGAATTTTTGTAAAAGATTATATTTTTTTAAAACTTGTGTTTAATGAACATGCCGACAATTATTACTATAATTTGAAAAATGAAAATTATTTCCCAACACTTTCAATAGTAATTTTTTAGCTCATAAATTTAGACAAATGCGCACGATAATTTTCTAACACTTAAATTCATACAATTCCAACGACAAACATATGCATTACATACAGAACTGAGCTTTATATATTAGATACACACACTACATCCCCACTACACGCCACCCACACTACACGCCCCTCACACCACACGCCCCCACACCTCACGCCCCCACACCTCACACCCCTATACCTCACGCCCCCGCCCCCACACCTCACGCCCCCACATCTCACGCCCCACACCTCAAGCCCCCACACCTCACGCCCCCACACTACACACCCACACACCCACACACCTCACGCCCCCACACCTCACGCTTCCCCCCCCCCCCCACCCCCACACCACCTACATCCCGTGTCTACCTACCACGGCCCGAAGCCACACGGCTCAGGTATTAATTTGTGAACCAAATCAAATATTCGTCCAACTGTTCATCCAGATCTTTCTGTGGCCGGGGGCTACAGAAGAAAGTTCAATGTTTGAAATTTCTTACATCAGTGGGTTCTCAATCTTTTTAGAGGTACCGAACCCCATCTTTTTATATGCGTATTCGCTGAACCCTTCTTAATGAACCTATTGTCCGCACTGACAAAATTCGATCGCGAATCAAATGATTCCGGTGTGTGTCTTGACCTCCGCCAAATCCCTGAGACTGACTCACTGGGGTTCAATCGAACCAGGGTTTAGAACCATTGCTCTAGATCATTTTTAGTATTCTACCAACCCTACTTACACCCCTCCCCATTTTTTTTCTTGCCTCCACATCTTCCCATACCACAACCTATAATCCCCCCCCCCCCCCCTTCATATAGCCTACCTGTTTTTTGTTATCATTTTCTCATACCACTTTTTAAAAAAAATCCTTATATTATTTTTTTATCCTACCTCCAATTTACTATCACCTTATTTAAATTTAATTTTTTAATTTTCATTTCCATATCTTCTCACCCCAACCACCCCACCCCCTTCCCCCTCTCTACAATTCCCTGCTCACCCTCGTCGTTGTCACACTCAATATAGTCCCGCAAGTACTGTCTAAAAGTTAAAACGAGTGAGTAGAATTTATTAAACATTGATGCGGCGTTGAGAATTGGCGAACGTCCGCGAAGTCAGGAAAAAAAAAGTAACTTTATTACTAGTGTGAGCAGTAGGGCGTATAGGCGTGTCACGCGTTAAGCGTGAGTAAGATGGCCCGGGGATGGGGTGGGGGGGGGGGGGGTGAATCACACACCATTTTGGGCTACACACTGAATGGACAACAACGCTGATGGATTGACTACATTACACGTTAAATGGACTATAGTTTGTGTTACTTCCAAAGACAGGGAGTTAAGCTTAATGCGATGGTTTCTATCTGTTGTGTTCAATGTTGGCTAACAACATCTGTTAGGGTGTGTGGGGGGGGGGGGATGTGTGTGGGAAAGTGAGAGGGAGGATTGTTTTCTGTAATGTGTATACATTGCATGTGCGGGTATTAAAACGAGATATGTAGGAGTGTGAGATGTGGGTAAGGTGTGAGGTAAAGGTGTGTTGGTAAGGTGTGTGGGTAGTCTGTGAGTAACGTGTGAGGGTAAAGTGTGTGGGTAAGGTGTGTGGGTAAGGTGTGATGTAATGGTGTGTGGGTAAGGTGTGAGGTAATGGTGTGTGGGTAAGGTGTGAGAGTTGAATGTGTGAGGAAAGTGTGATCGTAAAGTGTGTGGGTAAGGTGTGAAGTAAAGGTGTGTGGGTAAGGGTTGAAGTAAATGTGTGAGGTAACGGTGTGTGGGTAAGGTGTGTGGGTAAGGTGTGAGGGCTGAATGTGTGGCTATGGTGTGAGAGTAAAGTATGAAGAAAAATGTTCGAAAGAAACGAGGGAGTTCATCTATTAACGTCAATAGAGTTGAACCTCATCTCCACTGAAAGCTAGAATATCCTAATGAAGACATTTAATTTATTCAGCTACACCAAATGAACATAATTATACTATTAGCATTAATTACTAATTAGAATGATTTTGATAAATAAGTTAATTACGTGTATTTTAGTTTGGGTGTCATGATACATCAGATAAATATTATTAATTAAGGTTAATTAATGAATGTGCTGTTGTTTTGTTTTCACCAGACACACTAAGGGAGTACTTTCACAAGTTTGGGGAAATCAAAGAAGCGCAGGTGATGAAGGATCCGACCACACGGAGATCAAGGTAAGGTTCGAATCCCAGTTGTGCGGGCGTTTTGGGTTGTCTTCCGTAGGATTGGGGGAGTGAGGTGGGGTGGGGTTTTTATCAGTGTTTCTTCCAGACTTTTTTCTCCGGGGGGGGGGGGGGGGGGGCACTTGAAATTTTCGGGGGGGGGGGGGGGGGCGGTAGACTTTCTTCGGGGGGGGGGGGGGCGGACACTGTTAAAAGTATATATTTTCTATATAAATTATATAAATTTCATTTCGTTCGGGGGGCGGTAAAAATTTTTCGGGGGGGGCTAAGCCCACCCCCCCCCCCCCGAAGATATGCCTGGAAGAAACTCTGGTTTTTATGCATCGTAATGGGTGGGGGGGTAGTATAGGGGTGGTGGGGTGGGGTTTTTGTGCATCGTGATGACAACTCGGGATCGTATAGGGGTGGGCGGACGTATTTTTTTGCGTATTGTGAAGTGCGTGGGGTTCGTAAAGGGTTGGGTTTTTTTGCCCGTCGTTATTGGAGGGGGGGGGTCGTATACGTGTGAATGGGGCGGGTATTTGGTAGCGTGATAAGGGGTGGGACGTATAAGGATGGGGGTATATTGTGTCGTAATTTGGGGGGGGGGGTTGGTTGTGGTATTAGTGGTTTATACCACAAGCCGTTGTAGAGAATGTCTTGTGTTTCTCAATGCCAAATCTCCTGGATTGTAGCTTAACGCCTGGTCTGGTTTAGAACCTGGGCCACGGACGTGTAGGACTGTTATCTATCGGAAATTAACCCTTCAGTTCCCAGTGTTCACTAACGATATTTTAAAAAGTCGATGTATATACACGCCATCTTTGTTGCGTATGTCCGTCTGATTCTGCGACATCAATTCACCACATTATAAAGAAAAACGAGCGAGGTTATATAGGGTTAATACCAAGAAAAACGGGAGTGGGTCTGATAGGGTTAATACCGATAAACTAACGTGATAGTATCAGGAACGGGAGGGGGGGGGGGATGTGGATGGGGGAGGGGGGAGACTGGAGAAATTGAGATTGATGATGGAACGGCCTATAATGACTGGCCAATCTAAAACTAGGACAACGGTTATTGCCTGCCCGGGATGAGTTGCATCCCGTATACGGCCATCACGTGACGGCCAGGCGCAGCTTTACGAGGGCTGGACGGTGCCGAGTGCCTATGTTGTCAGGACTGCTGGCCTGGCTTCTCGTTATTGCCAGAGTGTCACACGTTAGAGAGGAGTGAAGTAATGGGGTGTAATGCGGTGTAATGGGGTGTAATGCGGAGGAAGATATGGGGGGAACGGATGGTCTATTTTTAGAAAGAGTTAGCCATCTTTTCATTAATGCGTCTAGGTTCGACCGTGCATTCGACCATTAAACTTTATTTTCACTTCCGCTATAAAATTAATTTTAAAATCAAACTTTTATTGTGTTATCCTACATTAAGTAACACACTGCATGTGTTTAATGTTAATTTTGATAAAAATTTAAAAAAATATATATTTCTATCATAAGCCTATATTTATAAAAAAGGGGCATTATTGTCCTCGAATTTCTGGTCACCCTATACTTCAGCCTCAAACATGGTATCGCCATGTCACATCAGCTGGTATCGACATCGTATCCTCTAACAAATTACAGGCGTAAACCAGAACAATGCTGTGCATCGGAGACCGATATCGGGAATATCGATTTTTAATTGTTTGAATCGGATTAATAAAATAATCGATTACGCATCTGGAACCACCCGTTACAAGGCGTGTTGTGTAATGTGTTTATCCAGAACACACTAGGAATTAATGCATGGTTGGGTTCGATTACTTAAATAAACCCCACACATGTTAGTTTTATAAAAAAAAAAACAAATTGTTGTTTATTTAATCAACGTGATTTAAATAAACTTTTAAAAAAAAATCGATAATACATTTCTGATGTTATGAGTCCCATGACCTTGACCTTTCCAGTTCTATTGATAGATTCCCGCGTGGAGTTCTCACAAAAGCTGGCTCATCATTGTTATATATAACTTTATTGAATTATTCTACAGTTTCCACTTATCTCCCCTTTCTCTCTCTCGCCGTGTTACCTCCCCTTGTATTCTTTTCTCCGCTCCGGCTTTCTTATCTCCCCTATCGACCCGGGCCGTGAATACACGCGCAATTAGCGCTAGTTTTAAACTAGTCAGGCGTGCATTGTAGACCGAGTTTTGCTCAAATGGGGTGGAGGTTGGGGGGGGGGGGGGGTAGAGTTTTTGTAATATCATGGGGGGGGGGGAGGGTTGATTTTTGGTGAGTTCCATCAGTCAACTTTGAGTTTCTTGAAGTCAACCAGGGGATCTCAAAGTCAGATGACTGGTGTTGTTACAGTCAACATTATGGATGAGGTCATCTATAGCATAGGGTTTATCTTAATCCGCAGTGAGAAGGGGTTCTAAATATTAAAATGGCAGGGGTTCTAAAATCCCACCGGAATATTGTTTTATACTGTCTTATGATTGGAGTTATGTGGTTCTGCATTTGTCAGAGGTTCTAAATATATATATATAAATTGTCGGCGCTTTTAAAATGCAGCTAGACTTAAAACAAGAAGAATTATTATTATTGTTCTAAAAGTCTTATACAAAGATATACGCATTTTACAAAATGACTGCGCGGCAAGTTCAAAACTACTGCGCGCCCGCGCAACCGCGCAGCTTAGAGGGAGCACTGCTAACCAGTCAGTGAATCTTCTACCCAACCAACTAGCCATTCAACCCACAACCCTGCTAACATACCAGTCCATATATCACACAACCAACCACTTACTCAATCTAACCCAAAAAACCAACCAGCCTAAACAACCATCAAACCAGCCCGACAAGTTACGACTTCACAACTCGTCAACCACTCACCAACCCTCGACTCACCCATCACAACCCATATACACATACATACATACACCTTTTCCTACTTCACCTGCACCCATCTCTCCTAAATCCCCCCTTTCCGTGATTGAAAGAAATCTCCAACCTTTTCCTGCAAGTGAACAATACCATTAGGTCTGGAACCCAATGATCGTCCGTGCTTGACCAGAACCCCCCACCCCCTATCCGATAAAAGGATTTCCCTGTTTGCTCAGGAATTAGGTTTTCGCTTTCTGCCTTACACCGAAATATGATTGCAATCTTTTCTAAAATAAGAACAGGAAAAAAAGAGGATCTTTGCCTACCGTTACATTAAAATGATTTCATGAGGGGAGAAAAGGGTGGTTGTGGGTTGTCTGTTTGAAATCCAGGAAATGACGTCAAGTAGGAGGGGGTATTTGTCTGGAAATTATGACGTGCAGTAAACGGGAGCGGGAGGGTGGGGGGAGGTACTCACTCATGATCATGTCGCTCAATTTAAAAAAAAAATGACGGAGGGTGAGGTAGACCCCGTAATTGCGAAATATAGTGGACGTTAAGTAAAGGCTTGGCTATTTTCTTGTATTAAAATCATATAACAGTAAGGGCCGGCTACTCTATGATCCGATGACGTATTACAGACAGTATGTGGTGGTTACTCCTCTTGTATTACACCATTGGCTGTCGAGTTTCAAGAGGTATTCTTGGCTAAGCTCAAGAGCTTTAATATCTGCGGGTGCAACAGGAATCGATGTATCTTTAGCTCCGACTTCCGCATGGCTAAAATCCGGTTAAAGGCTAAAGATCCTAATTTGTGCATGTGGAATTTTTTTTTTTTTTTTTTTTTTTTTTTTTGGAAATACAACTAGGAATAAGATAAATTATGACAGAGGTCTGATATGGGGATAGTAGGTTTGTGTGTGTGTGTGTGTGTGTTTGTGTGTGTGTTTGTATGTGTGAGAGTGATGTGTGTGTGTGTGATGGAGAGGGGTGTGGGAGGGTTGGTTCCTGAGCCCACTTAACTATTGATTTCAAACATATGTTTGATTTCCATAGTATATGGTTCCTGCTAATATCGACCTTTGAACATTCATACCCCAAATTTGATAAACATTTGAATAATTCTTCATTTATGAAATAATTACCTGAGCAATTGTAGTTAATGTAATATGACAATAGTCATTATTTTTATGTGTCTCCAGGTTATGTGAGTGTTTGTGTGTGTGGGTGGTTCTAATTGTGATTTCTCGATGCTATGTCGGTGTATGTATGTGTGTGTGTGTGTGTGTGTGTGTGTGGATTGTGTAAAGTTCAGCTTAATTGGAGTGACGTCATTCACGTGCCACATTTATAGTAACAGTCAAAACATGTTTTTTTTTTAAAAATATTATGTTAATATTTTTTTACGATACCCACAATGCCTCTCCGAACGCTGACGCCTCGTTCTGACTTCAGAATTCGACTGACAGGCAATTAAGAGCAATCATCTTAAATTGGGCTGGGGTTAACAGCGTTTCGGTGTTGTAGACAAGCCTGGTACCTGGTAGCTTTGGCACCGACACCCCCCCCCCCCCACTCCAATTCCGTACCACAACAAATTGAAATTGATTGCATATTGGCCAGGTGACAGCCAGAATTAGAAATTCGATCGCCGTAACCGGAAGTTGCCACTTTCACAGTTCCGCCAAAATGTTGAGAGTGACATTGTATTTTTTTTCCTTAATTGGTTAGGGTGGGGTGAGGCAGGTAGGGAGGGTTTATAATGGACTTAAGTGTGCTGGGTATCGATGTTGTTGAGTCTGGGTTTGAATCCTTGTCGAGTGGCTGCTTTAGAATGTTGTACTAGTAACATGGCCCGGCTTTTACCGGGGCCATCTAGTTTGGGATTATACAAGTGCGTTTTGGTATCACCCCCACCCTCTATCACCTTTATGTGAGAGTGTGTGTAGGGGGGAGGGTGTAGACTCAATTCCTAACCCCGCCTGCAATAGCAATAGCTTAACGTTTTTTATACCACTGGTCGTTACTTCCCTATACGAGTCTGGAACCTCCGCTTAAAAAAATTATGACTTCCATGTCTGGTCGATCCACTCACACCCCCCCCCCATACCTCTGATCCCCTCCCCCCTCAACCTCTG